AAATACTATAGAGTCAGATGAAATGGAATAAAATAAGATAGAATAGCAAAGGATGAAATAGGAAAAGATATATAACAGAATATAGTGAAGTGGAGAGTGGAGTGGAGAGTGGAATGGAGTGGAATAGAATAGAATAGAATAGAATAGGAGTGACTGTTTTAAGATTTGATTGGTTAAACATTGCTTCCAGTTTTGAGTGGGGAAGAGAAAAAAAGAGAAGGGGGTAATAGAAAGGGAAAAAGAGGTGGTGAATTGCATAATGAAAGTCTTACCAAGAGATTTACTTACAAAAACAAAAACAATTTGAAGCAACTGCACTAGAGAATACTCTGCCTCACTTCACTCCCGTATTGCTACTACACAATCCAAACCAAATCAATGTAATTTTATTTTATGTGTTCCTGGTTGATTCTTGTATTATTTAAAGGTCTGAAAGAAGAGATATGTGCAGCATCTCAGACAATTCTATTTGGGTTACATACGGAGAAACAGAAGACTGAATAGATTGACACCCACTCCAAGATGGCACAGCTAATTAGTGGCATACTTGGGAGTAGAATATGGGTATCCTACTACTGTTAGGTGGTGTGCTTTTCATTATTTTTGCTTCATTGTTTTTCCTTTTTTATCCTAGGACTTGAGGATATAAAGCCTCAGAAATAATAAGTTGTAAGGTGTTAATACCTATTTACTGACTAGTATATCTGTAACATGTGGGCCTTTCTAGTTCAATCAAATGTAGTCACAACAGTGACTATTTATTGCATACCTTTTTGGTATAAGACTATACCTAGCTATAAGCTATGCTTCTTCTTGTCTTGGCCTTCTATTATAAATGAGAAACATGTATTTATTAATAATATAGTAATATATATAAAGGTTAGGTTAAAAAACTAAAAGATGTTTCAACAAAATGTACAGTTTATTACATTGTTCAAGGGAGGGATAGGCAGCCTTGACTCAGGTATAAATTAAGGGTATTGTGAAAGAGAAAGAACTGATATTCTTCTTAGGTGATCTCAGGATATGCCAAGATTGATGAATATCTGGTTGATTCTTAAAATCTTAATGAGTCAATAGATAAAAAATCAGGAATGTTACAACAAAAGTTACAATTGAGAAAGCTGAAGAATAAACTGCTCAACTGTTAAACAAGTCTTTCAGGGCCTATTGATATTATAATGTAATTTTGGGTTAGTTGTTCATAAGCTGTTAATTGGGAAAAAGTATAGTTATTCCAAAATCATGTGTTAGGAAATCCAGGTGCTGTGGACTGCACCAATAGCTTTAGTATAGTTGGCAGTAATTAATATATTCAGGTCAAATTTTACCTCTTCCTTAAAGGCCCACTTAAAAGTCAGTACACACTGAGGTTTCTTTTTAAAGAATCTGTCTAATGTATAAATCACTGTATTACACTTAGCACTTAAATATTGTTCTGACTTTTCTTTTTAAAGATTTTATTCATTTATTTTTAGAGAGAAGGGAAGGGAGGGATAAAGAGAGGGAGAGAAATATGGATGCACGAGAGATACATAGATCAATTGCCTCTTCCACTCTCCCAATCGGGGACCTGGCCCAGAACCCAGGCATGTGCCCAGACTGGGAATTGAACTGGTGACCTTTAGGTTTGCAGGCCAGCACTCAATCCACTAAGCCACACCAGTGAGAGCTGTGCTTACTTTTTAAAACAAATTTCATGTTTGTATGTCTTAGCCAGCTATTTAAATAAATTATAAACTTTTAGCTGTTCTTAGATTTTTCTAGTCACATTCCCAGTTCTCTGCACATGTTACATGATAAGTACAGGTTTGATGATTGGTTAATAGATACAGGGCTATTTTTTTAATATTGCTAGGAAATTATTAAATAAACTTGCCAAATTCTCTTGCATTCTTGTGGTATTAACTACATTCTACCAATTACTATAACAATTTATGTAGTTGGTACATTCCCAACTAGCTTTTAAAATGCTGTAGCACATAGCAGCTCTTACATACACTTACCTCAGCACACTGTACCAAACACAGTGCCTGCACCTCATAGATACCAAATGAATAGTTGTCAAATGGAAATTTAACAAATTTTTAAAATAAGCATGATATATATAGGTAGCCTAGCAAGGATGAGCCCATAGAGGTCTTGCAATAAACATATAAGTTGAATGAGTAAATGAGTCATAAATTCTAACTTTTGCCATAAAGTAGCTGTGAGACATGGTCAAATCACTTCCCATTTGCAGCACTTCATTTTCTCATCAATAGCATAAGGCATTTTGATTTTTATTTTAAGAATCTTTTTCTACTTTTCAGACTCTGGGAAGGTATTTCAGGACCTCCATGAAGAATGAGGTTGTTTTTTATCCAATGATAGGTATTTAAATGTTTTCACTTATATGGGACCTAAGATACTCTTTAAAAATAAAGAGCTCTATTGCTAAGATTGTTTGAAAAATTTTGGTGTATATTACAGTGTGGAATTGTGCTTATCTCAAAGCAGTTTGTACACATACCATTTAAAATCCATCTAGCTATTATTATATTACCATACAAGAACTGCACAAGAGGTCCTGCTATTCCAGAAGCCACACTCAAATGAACTTGACATTAATTTTATGGGAATATTGGAGACAACATTCACTAATTTCAAAGGCATATAATAGTTTCTTTACTACAGGGAGAAATGTGTATTTCTTAGATCTGTCATGCATGCAATGAGCTTTAAAGGATACTAGTTTTTGACATACCAGAATCAAATATATTCATTTTTTCTCTTTTCCTCACTTCATATTTTCTTTCTACTTAAGAGAGCAGAACTCTGAAAACATGTTATTGAACTGATTCATTTATTGAAGATGGTTTGTATTTGTTTTCCTCTCCCCGGACAATTACATGACAGCTTGGCAGATAAAATTTTGCTATTTTGTTTGGTCTGTTAGAATGTTAAGATTGCTATTGATTGGTGTTTATTAAAACACTATAAAAGCAAAGTTACTAAGTCTGAGACATTCATGTATGGCTTAACAATATAACAACAATAATAGTAAATAATAGTAGTAAAATAATAATAATGAGGTCTATTTAATTTTATTTGTTGGTTACTAGTACCAGTCATTGATTTAAATATATAATCTAATGTATTCCTCATGGCTATCCTGTAGGACAGGTTTCATTATTATAAAAAAGGGAAATGAACACCTTTCCCAAGGTTAATAGTATGTTGTGAGTCAAGATTCATTGAACTTGTAATCTAATAGGCATTAAAATAGAAGGGCACACATACATTTCACACAGGTAGAATAAAATGAGTGCTATAAGAGAGAAATACTCAAGAGTAATTTTCTCTAAGATTGTCCATCTCTGTCTTGACTGGTTCATGTATTTGTGTAGCTATACATTCCATGTTCACAATATTGCTTTTGTCCAGAATTTCAGAGTTGGCAGGCCCTTAGAGCCTGTCTAGTACTTTCATCCATTGCCAGGATCTCTTTCTGTATCATCCCTGAGAGCTGGTCACAGAGTCCTGTTACTGCACATTTTTAACACTAAACAAACGCCTGCAGGCAGGGAATATCTGCTGCTCCGTTCCTGTAGGTAGCAGATGAAACAAACTTGGCTTCCCTGTACCTTCCATTCTTGGTTTTTCCTAAGATAGCCTATTAAAATTTTATGACTGTCTCTTTTCAACAACCTAATCCTTCCTTGAGGACACTATTTGGCCCTCCTCCATCTCCCCATGCCTTCTTTTTGGGTCAACATTACAGTGTTTCTGTAAGGTTAAACCTATGTAATTTTGTAAAGTGTTTAGGAGTATGCCTGATACATAAAGAATACTCTATATAGATGATAATAATCATGGTACTAATAATAACATATTTGTTATTTATTGGATTGACATTATTTATAGATTTTTTTTCCTCTTGGTTGATCACATTTTATATATAACTATTTAGATATAGATACTACTTTTCCTTAAATATGTTACAGCTAACAGGATGCAATTCTTCAGGTTCACCTGTGTATATTATTCAAGTGATCCCAATTAATTGAATTCTGGTTTAATTATTAACTTAACTGATAGAGACATTGGCAGTGTCCACTTGTACACACATGAAATCTTGGTTCTGCCTTGTTGAGTCATGTACTTAAATATCCTATTAAAAACCTAAACCACTGCTTGACTTTCTGATTGCTCACTAGAAAATGGTAATAATGAAAAAGGGAGGGATGGAAACATTTAAAATAAATATATAGAAGCCATTTGAAAGCTAATTCTTGAGGAGCTTTTTGAAAGATAAGAGTGATAAATAAATGTGGTTAAAGTCTGCCCAATGGTCATGACAGGTCCTCCATTCAAAGGCTGAATCCTCTTTTTCTTTCCTAAGTACACCAATCCTTTATTAAACTAACAAAATTGGAATAAAATATAAAGTTTTCACTACAGACAAGGCCAGACAGCTAATTAAAAGATGCTAAAATAGGCGGCTCCCTGGAGCCTAGAGTCACTTTTAAGGTTGATTTTGAATGACTTGTCCAGGCAGGGAGTCTTCTAGGAGGAAATGCATCTCTGTCTGGGGGTAGGGCAAGGTCTGGATTCCCAGGGCTCCACTGAACCTCCAGGAGAAATGCCAGAGCATGACCCAGATGGAAGAAGTCACCAGATCCTCTCGGAAGCGGGAGGAGAAGATTGACCATCACTCTAGACTGATACTCAGTTGTAGCATTTCTCAGACAAAGAGTATGCCAATGGCTATTTTCCCTGCTTTACTTGTCTGTGATGGGCATCATCGACCTATGCAATTGTGAAGTCTCAAGTTCAGACACACTGTCAACAAGCTGGAACACCAGTACTGCCAAGTGCCATTTAAATATCTTTTCATCTTTTTGTATGTCGTTTTGGAAGAAGAATGTTCTAGGGTATGGCTCTTGTTTTGCAGAATAATGGTACTTTCAGGCTGTATGGAATCTTGCATCATCTAGTCCAATTACCTCATTTTTCAGATCAAGAAACTGAGGCTGAGAGAGAAGGGACTTGCCCAGAGTCATTCAGCTAGTCAGTGACAGACAACAGTGGAAACTGCGGTAAGTTGTATGTCTTCTTTTTGGTTTCTCTTTCCAGTCTATACAGTGGAAATGAGGCATAGGTCTACACAATATCTCTAAAATCCCTTCCTATTTTAACATTCTTTAATTTTAGATTCTTAACTTCCAGTGTGATTTTCATTTTGTAATCATCAAAAAGGTTTTCTAAAAATGACACATTTATCTATCTAAATAACAGTGTTCAAGAATTTTGATGAAGGCTAAAGTTCTAGTTGATAATTTTGCATTGTGTACAGATACCTCTGTATATGGCATAGATTTAAAGATTTTGAAAACACACCTGGTTATGAATATGGTTGATAATTTACTATATTATATCCTAACAACACAAAAAGTTTTAATAAAAACTATAGTAAATGCTTCATTATTTTTTTTATTGCCTTATGTTGTTCTGCTCATTGATGGAAAGTTCAGGTCTCGTGAATGAGTTAGGATTCTGGAGAGGAACTGCAGTACAGGACGACCATGTCCACGCTGATTTTATTTAGTTGAAAACTCCATTGCTTTTAAGCAAGGATTGGACTTTTTCCTCTCATTTTCTTAGCAGGCACATTTTAGACAAAATGGCAGCAAATCCATTATGTAATGGCAGCTATAGCATCTTTCATCAAGAATGTGCATGTTCAGTGTCTCTGTATGGGGTAAGCTGGGTTATAAGGGCAAAGAAGTCAAGGGTAAGATGAGCTTGGGTTTCAAGTCATTGTCTCCGTGGAGTTTGAGGGGCATTTAGGAGGAGCAAGGAACTTAATATCTTGCTTATTTAAACTCATCAGATGCAAATCTTTGTAGTCTTTTAAAATTCTGCCTTCCATTAATATCTACTTTCCTCGTTAAACACGTGAATTCAATTTTCTTCGAAGTCCAGTTTATAAGGCAGAGAATTCTGAGTTTGGAGAGTTCATTGGTTGCAGGGAGAAGCTTTTTCATTGTTTGCGGGAAGTAGCATCTTTACACCATTGGGAATGCAGGTTCTCAGACATTTATTCCTAAATGACACTTGACAAGTTATGTGTGATGATGTTTACTAGGATATCAAAAGGATCAAATGAGATAATGCATATGAAAGAAATGTGCACAATCTAGAACATAATAGGAATCTTTTTATACTGCCTATTAAAGCAAATGGATAGGTGTATAGAAAACAGTGAGGGGTAGAGAAACAGGGTGTGCGAGAAGCAAATACAGTAATTTTCCAATAAAATCACAGCTTAGGGCAAGGAAACTACTGGGATGCAAATGAAACATTGCTGCTAGAATATTCAATATCATTGCTCTGGACATTGTTAAGATGCAAATTCTGATTCAGTAGATTTGGGGTGAGGTCTAAGAGTCTGCATTTCTGAAAAGCTCTCAGGTGATGTTGACACTCCTGGTCTCTGACATTTTGGGTATAAGTTTTTACATCCTTAGATGAACCAATACAACCTAAAGTCAACTAATTATCTTACCAAGGAAGAAATCAGTTTGTCCACATATTTGTCTGCAAATTTACGGTTTTATTATTAAGTGTTGTGAAGGCATTCTGTTTCTATGGATGGGGGTTTCTAGCTGAAAGATAGCAGCAATATAGGGGTTTGTATACAACAGAATTAGAAATCAACAAGACCTAAGGAACAAACACATTGTGAAGACAGTTGAGTTGTTTCTTGTCCCTTTTACATGTTTTAGCAAATAAAGGTTTTGAATCTGGCCATAAGAATTTTAGAAATGTGATTTGTTGTCTTAACTCTCTTCTTTCCCTTGGCACATTGCATATTTACATTGAGGGATCACTCACTTCCCTAATATAAATATGAACAGGAAGAAGCCATGTGAAATGTTTCCTCTTTTTTATAATTTCAGTTCAATTCAACATACATTTACGAAGTACTAGATTACAAAGTAGTGGACCAAGCACTGAGAGAGGCATAAGGATCATTAAAGTAGTTTCCAAGTATTCTCAGTTCTCTTTTAGAAGATACAGACATAATAACGAAATGCAAGGCAGTTTGGGCTTTAAAAACCTACTAGATCTGGTATAACATGTTAGAGATCTGATAGAAATAGAAATTAGTTCTGCTGGGGAGGGAGTTAGGAAGATGTCATGCATGGAGGATAATATAGAACATGGTGATTTACACATGGAGGCCCGAAGACAGCTGAAGGCAAAGTGTCCTATTGTAAATTTACAAAGGAGAGCAAAAGCAAAGAGACATAGATTAGTGTAATTCAACTAACACAGGGCTGAGATTAAAATATCATTCTTTGGATTCAGGCCAAAGGTTAGAGTTTGTGTGGGATTGATGGAGGTAAAGAGGCCTTATAGGGGTGGCATTTCAGCTGCTGCTTCTATCAAACTTCATTTTTTTCTTATGTGCCTGGTTACCTGGAATTTGCAGGAGAAAAATCACCTTTCACATGAAGCCACCTCCCTTTAGCGTACAAAACACATTTCAGAAGGTACATGAATTGGAGAGGGGTGAGAGAAAAATTATTCCAAATCAACTTAAAAATATATTTCCATATTAACTCATTTACTCCTTAGGTTCTTTTTCTTGACAACTCTGGCACTCAAGTGTGATTCAGTATTTATTTCTCTAACTTATTTGAGGTTAAATTGTTTTTTAAATGAATTTTTGCCATGATGGTTACTTTGGAATGCTGATGGGTTATAGAGGAGAAGGCTTTTTATATTTCTTCTTTTTTCATGAGCTGGTATTTAGTCATTAAAAAAAAAAAAAAAAAAAGATTCTGCAACTCTCATCTGATTGCTAACCTCCCTGGCTGGTTAGACAATCTGGACAGGAAAGAGCTGATTACCTGGTGTCACCGAAGTCCATACAGCCTGATGTTCAAATTGTTAGAGAACCCTGGCCTGTGCTGTTCTGGAACAGCTGTGGGGTCTGTTTGCCCACCACCAAGTAGTGTGACTCCCAATGCCAAAGTTTGGTGAAAAGGAAAGGAATCACTTATTTAAAAGTTACACAGATTTAGAATAATGGCAGAATTCTGCCATTAAGTCCCACTCCCTTTAAAACACCCACAAACACACACTCCTGCTTCCCTTTGCCAAACCAGGCCAGTTTCAGAATATGCCAGTCAAAGGTACTGTCTTTCAGAAAAGCAGAAGTCCACGGCTCAGCATTCCTGGTCACAGCTCAGCATTCCAGGCATCTCCCATTCATCCGTGCTTGGCTGGGCAGGTCCCTGCAATTCCATTGGCCATGCCCACTGTGTTCTCCCAGGCAAGTTTCCCCAGTGGGTCTCCTCTTTCTTCCTCCAGCTCTTAGTCCCAAACCACATGGCACCTTCTTGCTCCAAACTGCATGGCGCCTCCTTACACATCAGACCTCATGGTAGGCCCAGTGGGGGCCCTTCTACCCCTTTCAAACTGCATGGCTGCCCATCATTGCTGGCCGGCCTAATTTTAAATGCTGACCTGGGGCTACCTATATGACCTCGCACTGGGCATTACACATACTGAAGGTCACGAAGGCCTTTACCCAGGTGGCAGCACAGCTTTCCTTCAGGAAGGACACAGCTATCAAATTGCCATGGTTATGAAAAGTATCTTAAGCCATATCCATTTCTCCCCTTCCCCCAACCATGGGCTGTGGGGGAACATGCTCTATATTGGGGTCCTTTTGCTTTGTACCCCATTTCAAAATGTATACAGAAATGAGGGCACCAAAGGACATTAGCCATTAGCAAAGGGCATTATCCAAGGACAAGTTTGGAGTCATAGTCAGGAGGCATAATGATTCCAAAATTCAAGGTTGATCAGGAGCATATCAGGAAACAGTGGGTAGAGCAGTGCCCACTTGAATTACATTATGGGGCATTTGTTCTTATTGGACATCAACTTTGTTGGCTGAGACTGGCTTACAGGCACAAGAAAGTGCTTGAAAATGCCAATCTATCTCATTCATTGCCCACCTTTGAAAGAGAACCCTCAAGAGCACAGATGGACAATGTGAAGCATGTGCTGCTTATAAACTTAGAATCCTTTTATATTTTGCTCAATTTTTTTTAAACTCCATTCAGCTGTGGCCATTCACTGGTCACTTTATGTCCTTTTGGCATTCGTTCCGTCATTGCTTATCCTCCTCTAACTTCTCTTCTCTCCTTCTCATGCTCCAGTGTTGGCAATATTAGATATGCTATTTTGACTCTGGCAGCATGCTGTCAATTCCAAATTCCAGGTAATAACAAAATGCCAAGGGCATAGATGTTTCATACTGAGAGGCGTTCTGATGCTCACCTAGCATTCGTCCCCTTTATTTTTCAATTTGAACAAATAAACAAATATATAAACAAGGCACTGAGAGGAGATATAGGGGTGGGTCCAGTAGAGAGATGTGAGGTTAAGGGAAAGGGGATGAGGAAATGGAACCGACATTTATTGGGTGCCAGCTTATAGCCAACACTTGGTTAAGTTCTTGTATAATTTGTGCTACTGAATCTTTGCCATGACCTCATGCTAGGGACATCGCTGGGTCACCTTCACCAGCGGGGCAAATAGAACATAAAAGAGATTCTAAGGAGAGATCAAAGTCTTGCAGACCTCATCAGCAGAGCTCAGGCAGGAGAGTCTGTGTCTCTAACTGGTATCTATCACTAGGCTAAAAACAAAGGATGATGGAACTAAAGTTCCATCCTTTTTCCCAAAGTAGCTTGAATTATGTCAAGATAGACTGTTTAGATAAAAGGCAGAAAAGGGGTGAGTGTTGAGTAAAAGTTACAGATTAACTCCCGTCCAGATTGCTCTCTTCATTTGCTTTGAACCTATCATATGTGTGCTGCTTTGTGGTGGTAATAATCCCTTTACATGAATATGAGCTGACTATTCTTCAGTCAGTGATATGGAGTCTTGCTGGTTAGGCCCTCAGCTGTTTAGTGGGTTGATATATTGTCTGTGCACATGCTTAATATGCAGAATTTTGTTTTTAGATAAATCAAGATGACTGTGTTTTTCCCTTTATAAACCACACCTAGACTTA